GATTAATCGTAGCAACTGGACTTGCTTGAGTTCCTTGAGGATGTTTCACCTCTCATCCAAAAGGCTTCATCAGTTCTGAGTGACTACTTGGGAGTTCCAGATACTTACATCCTAAAGGAGGGACTAACACCTGAGTTTTGGTTTCAGTTGGGGGTTTGTTGCTCTTCCCCCTAACCGAAGTGGTTCCTTTTTAATCTTCCCCTTAAAGTGATTACGTTGTAAATGTGCTGGCTCCAGTTGGACAACAACTTTAAATGTGAAAGATACGTTCCACTGTTACCATCCGTGTTTACTTCGGCAAACACTGAGCATGCTCACTGCGTGTGACGTCGTTGTGTCCTCTTTTGCGAAGTTCACACAGGAGATCACATACAAGTCGCATTTAATTGGAAATGTGACCGAACTCGCAAAAAAAATCGGATTTCACAAAAAATCCGAATTGAGCATTGAGTCCTGCAGTCTGAACGTAACCTGAAAGAATGGTTAGATTTTAAACTTTCCATCAGTCATTAAACTACTCATGTGTGACAAGCAGTTGGGTTGGGAAACTTTACCAAATCTAAACTTTAAACTATCATATTTCTTTAACATTGATTCTTTCATCATGTCTCATTTAAGAATTATCCATAAACAAACTGCTCCAACCAGATTAAAAAAAAAAGAGCAAACAATCAACATTCATGTGACAAAAATTCTGTGACTTTTTGGCTGACTAGGGCTGAGCTGCAGGCTGTGTTTGTACAGTGCAGATAGGAGACACGTATGTAGTGTAATTAAAATAGTAGTGAGCAAGAAAATATCTGTAATATGTTGAGTCACACATTTGGCATTAGAACTTCATATACTACACAAAAGAGATTTCTAAATTCCCGTTACCGTTAGCCGTTGTTGTTGTGTCTCCACAGAGGTGCAGGACTTTATACTGTAGTCAACAATGAGCCCACAATGAGTAAAAATGTTACAGGAGCAAAGAAACAGACAGAAACTGTTTTGGGTTTAAACATCACTGAAGTGTATGAACAGTATATTTCTCAGGAACATGTTTGTACGGCGACCTGTCCAGGGTGTCCCCTGCCTTCACCCTAAGTCAGCTGGGATAGGCTTCAGCCCCCCAGCGACCCTAGTGAGGATTATGCAGTGTATAGATAATGGATGGATGGATGGATGTTTGTACAGTCCAGTTATTTTCCCTAAATAAGACTGTGATGCTCACAGACAGTAAACACTGTATTTGTACATTAACACCTACAGCCTTGAATCCCTGTCTCACTTTGCTTATGTGCTTTTTAGGGAGCTGGAGCTGCCACCTGTGCCTGGCTCTGCTGAAGGACAAAGCCTCCATATACCAGCAGAACCAGAGCTCCGCCCCCGAGTGACAGCACAACTACAAACTCCACCCCCTCAGCACCAGGACCACACCCTCGATCGAAACGTCAGACCTCCTCTCAGTCCGGAGCTCCAGGCTCCGTCCAGATGTAGCTGAGCCAGACCGCAGATCAGCTTTAGAAGCCTTTCATATCTACAGCGCCAACGGGGCCCTCAGAACCAAAACAGACCTCAGATAAGTCAAAACGAGGATCAAACCGTCACTACCAACCTGCCTGCAAAGTCCCCCGAGGCTCGCCGTCAAACACATTGTGTGTAAATACAGTATAGACACACATGTTCTCCTGGACTGTTACACACACTAGACACAGAGACCGAGCGCATGCAGTAACCATAGTAACTGCTGTCTCCATGGGAGCTCCCAGGAGAAAACGGATTAGCATCACTGCTAATTATGTGCACCCTTTCACACTCAAAGACGCAGGGTGGACTGACAAGACAACACAGTTTCTCTTCTGCCAAATTATCTATTTTTACTCCCTGAAAGTGACGCCAGGAAAGCGTCGCCACATATACAGTCAAGGATTATTATTATTATTGTTATTATTATTCTTGTTATTGTTCTGGTTACTAGTGGGCTTTTGTAGTGACATTTGTCCGTGTACTCTTGTCTGATCCATTGGGGCATTTATCTTTTGAAAAGGTTTCCCTGAGCGGGAGCCGGTCAGTGCCAAGGTCCAGCTTCATATGAAACACAGTGACTGCTCAAAGGGAGCTCATCATAAGCACCATCAATCATCTTTGTCTTCAATCAGGGGCACAAAGATGGTAAAATTAAGTCTGTTAGCACAAATGCTTTTGGTGTTGCTACTTTAAAAAAAAAAAAAAAAAAAACAGAAAAAAAACAAGTTTTCATTACTGATTCTGTTAGAGATCAGTTGCTTCAACCAAACACTACACAACTGAGCGCATACTGCAGCCTGGGCTCATTAAGAATACAACTTTAAGTATGATGCCATTTGTGAACATTGTTTCTCCATCAGACAGAGCTGATGCTCTGGTTTCAGTCAGTGTTTGTTAATACTGTTCTTATCAGAGAAACTAACGGCGGTTCCACATTTTAGCCCATCCAACACATGAAACTAGTGACCATAAAGATACATCCTTTTCTCAGAGACGTTTTTGTGCTAGCTTTTTAGAAATAGTTTGGCAGTGACATCATCCTTTTCACATGTTGTTTTAAACAGCTGCTGTCGCTCCGACGACACACAATCATTTACAAACTGTAGCTGCTTTTATCATTTGTCACACTGAGGCAGATTTGCATGCAGATTGCACCTGTATGAATGCACACACACACACTCACATCACAAGTGTTTTTTTTTTGTTGTTGTTTTTTTTTGTTGTTGTATTGTTTGTATTTTTTTTTTTACATTTTGTATTACCTGATATTTCATTGGTATTGGGAGTTTTTTCTAGTAGAATTTTGTAAAGTCTACGGTATAGCAAACACTTCAATATATAGCTCCTAATGCATTCTATGTACTGTATTGACTTTTTCTATTTTTGTTATGACTGTGACATGTTTGAATTTATTTGATTATTCTGATATGTCAGACCTTCATTATGAGTATTTGTAAAATGATGTACTTTGTTGTACTATTTTTATTTTTACATTTCTTTGGTATTGAAGCCGATTTAGCCTGACTGAAATAAAAATCACTTTGAATTACGTGTCCATGGTTTTTGCTTCAAGTACTTCATTACCAGCAGTATTTAAAGGGATGTAATATAGTTAATATATGTTATGATCACCTCTTAGGGCCACGTCTTTGTGCAAACTTACAATTTGCAAACTTTTGGAGGTGCAAATCTTTTCCCTCATGAATTGATCAATACGCGGTAGTTATTTTTTTTATTCTTATGATCAGCTGTGACAGAAGGAAGGGGTGGCAACGAGTCGTCCTACAAAGAACATGTAGAACAAGGCAATAGTAAAGTCTTTGACCTCATGTTGTTTTGTTATATTCAAATTGAGAATAAATCAGCCAAAAGAAGCAGTTAGCCTTGTTAATTAACGTGGTGCAGTTTAAAGAGGACGTTAAAAGAAGAAAACACATCTGTTGTTGCACACACTTCTCGTCTTGCTTTAAATATTGTGTTGCTTCTATGATGAGGGCTCAATTTGCCCCTTTTAGTCCTTGTTTGTTTTTGCAGCTGCTGCAAAAAACATCAGTCACAGTTCAACATTTTACACCAATTTTGTGAGAATAGTGTGTTTATACTAAAAAAGTGCACAAAGGAAATGGAGGAGGTACCAGCTCTGGGAGAGTTGGGACAACAAAAGTGCTACACTTTATTTGCATATGTTCTACAATTTGCCTGTTGACACAAATATGTTGGTGTTTTTGAATACAGTGGTGTATTTATATGTTGAATAAAACACATACACAGTTTAATAAAGTAGCACCTGAGTGGCACTTAGCTTACTCTTTTGTTTACACTAAATATTATGTAGTTTTGCACATTGTTAGTTTGCAAATTCCTGCACAATGTAAATATTTCCATTATTCTTCATTAGTTATAATCCCTTGGATTTGCTACATTTGCTGCTTATTTGTCTTTATTTATAACAGTCTACAGATTAGCTGCACTTGCTTTTAAAAATCTTTTTTTTTTTTTACAATTTAATTTGGCAGACACTTTTATCCAAAGCGACGTACATGTGAGAGCAGATACAACACAAGCAAGGATCTAGTCAGGAGACAACAATTTAGATAAGTGCCATAGAACAAGTTCAAGTGTGACGGGACGCTGATGCCAATAGCAGATTGTGTGGGAGGTAATAGGAATTTGTTTGTTTGTTTTGTTTTGTTTGTTTTCAGTCTTTTCAGTTTTTTGAAGCTCTGTTTGTCAGCGTTTAATATTATGCACTAAAACACCAAGATGAATTCCTCATATGTGAAAACCTGACTGGTTATAAAACTGATTCAAACTGTGATGTGTGTCCTGGTTTCAGCACTTGGACAGCTCCATTCAACCAGCCAGCTGAGGGCTGTGCAGCTGATCCTGGTGCTGAAGTGCAGCAGGTAAACACCTCTGAGCTTCAACACAAATCTGAACTACACACATCTGTGCCTCTTCCACTTTCTGTGACAAATTACAAGTAGCTTTACAACCTCAAATGAAATTATGTCAAAATAATGTCTCAGTAGCTCACCATCATCATCTTCATCATCATCATCATCGTCGTCGTCTACGGAGCTTAAAATGTCTTAATTGTGTTGTGCTGCTGTTGGGAAGCTGCTTTTAACAGTGAACAGTTAAATGAGGACGCTCTACAACAAAATGTTTTTTTGTCTTTATATAAACTATATTGGTAAGTGACTAAGTGCTTAACACTGGAAACTTGCATGTTTAACCCATCTGAGTTTATAAATACAACAGTAAAGAGTAAGGGCTGTACATTACAACACATCACATGGCAGACAGGCTTCTGTTTTTGGAGGTCAATCAATATACCATTAAGTTTTAATGCATCCTCTCACATCTTTGTTTGGAAAATGTTGAAATTAAGCCTCTGGTTTGATCCTACCATGTTTCTATAATTCTTGTCCCTTTTGTTAACGTTAAAAGCAACGGGGGTTATGATGTTTCAATCACAGAAGAGAAACCTCACAGAACAAAGTGTTTTATTGCACTCATAACTCAAGGACTTATACTCAAGGACTCTCTCTCCAAAACAGACACTCAAAAACACCTCATAGCGTATAGTCACCTTTAAACAAAAACACAACCTTGTGCTGAGAAGCTTTAAGGAAAGAGGAGGGCCTACGTTCTGTACAAGGCCAAGACAACAGTGGCTTAGTGCAATTATCTGGAGCGTGATGATCAGCCATGCTATACGATTTACAGCTACAGACACAAAGGTGTGATGACGTTAAACTTTACATAATTGTAAATGTAAAAACGTAAATGCACAAACTGAGAAGCAACTATATAAACTTACATGTATAATCATCTGGTCGTTGAGGTTACTTGTGGCAGTTATAAGTAATCAGTAAACTAACACACTCTGGGGTTCATTACGCAATATTCTTGGTTTCAGAATACAAATTCAATACTTTATAAATTTGTTGTGAGACAGTGCATTATCGGGTCGGGTTTCATTTCACAAAAGCTGGGCTGGAGGTGCTTCGGTACAAAACTATGTAAAATACTCATTTATCAAAGGTAAACAATGTCGCTTTCAGGCAGCCGGTGTCATAGTAACGCTGCTCAAACATGTACAGCTACTGTGAAATGAAATTAAAATTCATCTCTCCGTACATTTGATTAATAATGGCAGCAGGGAAGGTTGAGAAAAAGTCGGCCCACTTGTCTGTGAGTGTGTGAGGAGTGTGTGTGTGTGTGTGTGTCCTCTACAGCCTCTCGAAGCCGACAGAGCAGAGGAGGAAGATGGCGTAGAGCAGCAGCAGACAGAGTCCCAGCCTGCGGTCCAACCTCCAGCGGTTCAGGTGGACACACAGGACCTGAGGAGGGACAGAAAGAGTCACTGCAGCCACAATTTAATACAAGACAAACTCAATTTCCTGTTGTGTTGATCGAAAAATAGCAACAAATACTATTTTCCCAAACAGAACCAGGGGCTCTCAGGCCATGACAGGAAAAAAAAGAGATAAGATCAAAATAGGAGGCCAAGAAAAACAGACAGCTGACAAAATCTCTGAATTAGATCTGAGATTTTCAACGCCAGCGGCCAGGAGGGTGGAAATCTACTCACAGTGAGCGTGACTGAGGCCAGCAGCAGAATCACTGAGTAGACCAGGCCTTTGCTGTTTATTGTCACCTAAAAAACACACAAAACAAAACACACACACACCATATTTATTCATGTTCACCCTGGACCACTGACACTAAAAAATAATTAGATTTTACTTCTTAACAAACAGAAGCTAATAGATCTGTCTTATCAAGCTTACCAGCGCTTAGGAAACTGGCAACCTGATGAATGTAAGTCCAATATTCCCTCTCTTTTAGCTTTGTGTGTTTTTAAACTAATTGATTTGTTTCGTTGTTTGCTAATAAGTTATAAACAGTGAGTTTTTGGAAGTTCTTCACTAAAAACTGCTCCCTTGTGCAGCTAAAAGCAATGCAATGAGAATACTAAATCAACAGTACGTTCACAGACCACACAACTAAAACGTGCAAAAACTCACAATAAAGGTCCTTAAACCCTAAAGTCTGGCCTCGATGGTACCTTGTTTAACAGTAACGCCATAAATACACAGGAGAAAGATGGTGGAAGTTCTTTCAACACCGTGGAGGCAGCATTTGAGGAAACAATCTAAGAAGAATATGGTTTGTGTCTCAACTGCTGGATGCCTCTAGAATTTATATTAGTCTGAAAGAGGAAACATTATGCCACCGTGTAGGATATGAGGTAGAGAGCACAGCTGGTTTTACCACTGATCCATAGCTGACTATGAGAGTCCTCAGTGCCCAGGGGAAGCCCAGGCCCAACAGCACGTCAAAAATGTTACTGCCAATGGAGTTGGACACAGCCATGTCGCCCATCCCTGCAATGTTTGACAAACACACAAATACAAACAGCTCAAATTTTAGCACATGTTCACATCTTAATTTTTCATTTCTCATTACACATGCACTTACTTAGATTTGACATGATGTGACTGATGTCATGTCATATCTAAGCTCGACGTTTTCTGGCATCACTGAACCAGAACTACTTCTTAAAGTGTTTCAAGATGAAGAACACGGTATGCTCCCGAATGATTTTGACAGAGAGACAATGGTGCCGATAAGCTATGAACTAAAATGTTTAAGTTTGCTTTAAATCTCTGTTTCTGTTCAGAGATGTCGAACAGGAGTGTTCTAGATTAGTGTGACGCAACAGTTTGAACTCAGAGTTTATTTTTCCAAGGCTAGCTAGCTACAAAAAGCTAACTAGTAGATCTTTACTTAAAGATAATAGGATGTGAAAGTGGTTGTTTTCTTTAACAGATCAGCTGATCTGTTTTTTTTTTTTAACAGACAAGTTGTTGATAGCCAGCTTCTCCCCATCGTTTCAGCTTGTTTGATTACTGCTGTGGTGTTCTTCTATGTCATTCAGCTGCCTCTCCAGAGTCTCTCTCTCTACGGACGGACTCCAACTCAATCAGCTTGGATTGCAGCTGATCATGTTTGTCGGTTAACTCGTTGCAGGCCAATTTCATGGCATCCTTGTTCAGCTTTGGTGAGCTTGGAGTACCAGCATATGAGCCAGTTGTTCACCTGCTGCTAATTCCAGTTGGAGCTGGAGCAGCAGATCTCCTGTGAGGGAAAAAAAGGACAACTGCCTCCAGCTGAAGTCCAAGATAGTGACAGTGGAGTCCATCCACGAGACGAGAGACTCACTGGAGAGGCTGCTAAATGACATCGAGGACCACCGCAACAGCAACCAGGCTGGCCCACAGCAACTGAACTTTGAGCATTAAATATTAGCATACAGCATTTTTAAGGCTGTTTTGTCAGACCAGTATTTCCAAGGTCAAAATTGAACCTTCACATGGAATATTTTAATTGACACACCTCACCACACACATACACACACACCTTGTCGGGCGACGATGAGACTGGCCATGCAGTCAGGGACACTGGTGCCAGCTGCCAGGAAAGTGATGCCCATGATGACTTCTGGGATTCCAAGTGTGTAGCTGATTATGGTCACCTTAGCAAAAGAAAAGCTTCTTTATGTGGGTTTTCACTTGTGTACGTGTGTGTGCATGTGAGCTGTTGCTTCTGTGTGTTTCGTACCATCCAGACCATGAGGTAGGAGAAGAGAGCGATCCAAAGCGTGGAGGACAGGAAGGTGAGCAGGTACCAGCGCTCCCACCGCGGCAGGCTACAGTCGGGGATGGTGCAGTAAAGCAGGATGCTCAGTGGCCAGGAGAGCAGCCACTTCAGACGCATGCACCAGCCGTCTGAGGAAACCATGAAAACACACATGAATGCACACACAGACACAAGCATGCGCACACACACGGACACATGCATCTACACACCAGTTTTCCTGCAGGCATCATTACAGATTCATCTAAACTTTTAAATTATTCACGTGGCATGGCCTGGATGTGTCTGTGAGTCTTTGTGTCATTCGTTTTAATTAGCTCCATCAGCCATACAACCATCTATCACGCTGTGAAACATTAACATTAATAGAAGCAGGATGCAGTTCTGGTTGAAACAGCAGCACCAATGACAAAAATGGCTTTTACAGAAGATTAAGGTTTTAGCTGCAGAGTTTCCATGTTCTGCCCTTTTTAATGGAAAGTAGCAGTTAATTGGCTGCGGACGATTACCGGACATGTTGAGGTGCATAAATGTAGCTTTTGTCATAATCTGAAGTTTGTAAGGTCTAATAAGCAAATATGAAATATGACTAAAATCCTATTTGTTGCTTTAGTGAAAGATCAAAAGAGCTGTCAGCTAGAACCAACAGATTTTCTTTTACTTCTGAACATTTCTCTTTTGAAGATAACTTTTGTTTATGCTGATCACCTCTTTGATCCTCTGCAAAACTTTGTCTCTTTGCATTTCAGTTCCCAGGTTTAAACCTGGGAGCAATTTATTCTGACATGTTTACCCTTTGAGAGAAAATACTTCTTGTGCCACTTAATCTGTCAGCCTGGAGAAAGAGTAATAGTTTTCTGCATTGTGCAACTTGTCTATACAGTTTCAACCACAGGTAACTTTGCAAGTAAACCTAGTGGTAACTTGTTTTGCCTTTTTGACTGAACAAATCTGGAACTAAACTTAGCTCCTTTGGCCAAAAGACTCCCTGTATAGGAACTGTCACAGCAGAGTCCTTCACTACAAGAACTCTACGTTTGTCGGCAGTCTAATTTGCCTTTCTGTCACGGTTCTTCAGATGAAGAGAAAATGCATAGAGGAGTGTGCACAATATAGGTTAGTTCCTGAGTTCGATGGCTGTTGGAGCCATTGATAGTGCTGTTACTTAGCTGTGCTTCTTGGACATTCTAGCAAAAAGCAATCAGGCAAATGACGCTCATACCCACCACACTAATATTACTAATATCCCATGTCCTAAACTACTAACCTAACCAATCACTGCTTTAAAGAGCCACACCACAGAGTTATACTGGCATGGCAAAAGCATGATTGCTACACACTGCGACAGTCCAAAGACCAGATCAGCTACCATGGGACTCACAATGAGAAAGGAATAGAAATGTACATTTAGATATGCATTTAAACACGACCAACATCTGTCTCCATATTAGTTTCCTCATATCTAATGCCTTAGTGGCGTCTACAGTTTGTCCAAAATGGACTACAATTCAGTCTCTCCTTTTAAATAAGTATTATTCTACAGGGACAATTCAGTAAGCAGAGCAAGTCTTAGGTTTTGTGTAAAGATTTGTGTTCATATAGCTGGCTGGTGGTTGGCATGTCAGCATGTGTGTGCAAGGTTCTGTGGTGCAGCTTTTATGTGTTTTTGAGAAAGAAAGCATTAAAAAAAAAAGCATTTAACTGAGATTAAGTAAGTCAGATAAACATTGACCATAACCAATCAAATAATGTCCTTCTTAGCATAACAATATGAAGTAAATACAACCCCAGTCTCCCTGTGTGTGAGCTTTCATTCATCACTCACCTGGCAGGACAAAAGGTTTAAAGGGAGTGTTCTCCTCCTCTCCTTCCTCCTGCTCTTCTTCCTCCTCCTCTTCCTCTTTAGGCTGTGCTCCCCCACCCGTCTCTCCCCCGTCTGTCTCTTTAGCCCTCTCCCTCTCTCCTTCCAGCATCTGTCTCCCTCCCTCAGCCACCGTCCCATTCTCCCTCCCCCAAGGCCCACTAGCACCCAAACCTTCCTCCCCAGAGGCTCCCCCCTCCTCCGGGCCGACTCGAGCGCGAATCAGCCTCTGCCTCTGTGGGTGACCGAGGGAAGCCGTGTGAAGTCAGAAAAGAGTGAGAATTGAAAACAGAGAAAAACAAAATGAAATGAGAAACACTGCTGCGGGCTCATGGAAATGACTTTATCGGCTGACAATGTGAGAACTGGCAAGAGGAGTGATTAGGCAGCCAGGCAGGTCCTCACATTCAGCAGAGAGGGTTTGGAAAGCGTTGATCAGGGGCATGAAAAAAAAGCAGGGATTGCATTGGCAGGTGCATTTTAATTTGGCACTAAAAATGGCAAGCACACATGCAGCAGAGCTCAGAGAGGGAGGAAGCAGATTTGGAGATTGAGTTCTTGTCTGCTTTTTTGTCTGGTTAATATTATGCATTAGGCAGAGTCTGTGTGTTGTGTTTGTGACCTTATTAGAGGGTGTCTGTATAACAATGGCAAACAGGATGCTGTTTGATATGCCAGTACATATCTCCCCATCTTTTAGTTTCCATCTACAACAGATGCACCAGTACAATTTCCTTCTCTGCTGATACCAATTCCAATAGCTCAACTAATGCTGAGTACTGATCTCAAACAGATGCTACTCTGTGTTTCACAAACTAAAAATCTGTTTTATTCACTATGTGAAACATATTTCAAACCTATTTTATGTAAAGTGTAAACATATAACCAGGGTTTGCTGTGGCACTGAAAACTGAGTTGAGGGCCAGTCATGACTCAACGTAACAAAATAAATTGAATCAAAATGAAACTCTGAATTTTTCACATTGACACCGAAACTATTTCATGTAGACTGCTCGTGTGCTAAACATTAGTTGGAATGGAATCAGGGACAATTGGCATGAACTGAACCACTCTTTACTTGTACTAAAACCGCAAACTTATTCATAAATATTACCAGCATGCTGACATTAATTAATAGTGATGTTTAAAATGCCATGTTTCCACATTCAAATACCCACCAACATAGCCGACAAAACCAGGGGAACGTGATGTTATGCGAAGGGTGTGGGCACGTGCAGTGTACCTCGTTGATGACCATGCGTCCTGCCATGCGCAGGCGAGTGAAGGGGGGAAAATGCGGGGTGATGAGAAGGCGGAGGCTTGCCTCTGAGAAGGTGAGTTGGTGGGGGTGTACGTTCAGTAGCTCATCCACCATCACAACCCCTGAGTCCTGACCGGCCACCACGCACGAGTCTGGTGGCGGAGGAAAGAGGTGGATGAAGGTTATTGGGAGATAACAGTAGAAATGAGAGAACAGTATAATAGGACTGAAAACAGAAAAGAAGGAGACATAAAGGACAGAGTGATGGAAAGTGGAAGAAAAAAAAAGAACTCTTGTCCATCAAAGTGGTCTAGTTCTATTTCAGCCTGTTGGAAATCCACAGGGGAACAGAAATGGCTTTGAATGGCAACCTAAACTGTGTCACTGGGTCTGTTGAACGCTGCTCAGAGACTGATGCTTTGAATGTACACATGGCACAAACACGAGTTCTTTCACCTGGCTTCAGCGGCACCATGTCATTGTCACAGTCTCCAATGTTTCCGACAGCAGTTGTCCGTCGCAGACTGCTCAGACACGGCTGACCTGCCCTGCTGCAGTGTTTCTCTACCAGGGAACACAGAGATCTGTTGAACCTACAAAAAACACAACACACACACTAAGATACGATGTCTTCAGCGGACATAGAGTGTGTGGGGCTTGATATCTGAAGGATGGCAATGTGAGATGAAAAGAAAGAGACTCACTTCATGATGATTATATAAATTCCATACATAGAGATCAGGATGATGGTCTCCCACCTGAAATATGCACAAAAGACAGATTCAAAAACAACACACTAGTCGTACTGACAGTCAGTTACTGTGGAAACTGATCTGAATTTCAAATAGTTATAAAAAGTTTCATTAGAGTCTTACCACATGACTTTTTCATCATAGATCACCTGCAAAACAAATGAAAACAAGTTTATATGCACAACTCAAAAATGCCCTTTTCAAGGAGTCAATATGTTGACTAGTATTAGTATCACAGATGTGTCAGTATTTACAGACATGCAAAAGATTATGTTTCTGTGTTTACAAAAACTGAATAGATGAGAATTGGGCCCAGTTCCTTGCACTAACTTTATGAATTAGATCTTTGATTCAAAATTTTTGCTATGCAACATCACTGCTGCTTCTTGAGCTGAGATATATTCACTGGCACATACACTGGCATCATACCAGTCACTGAAAAATTTCAGTGTGCATTTTATATCTATACATCCAAACAGTGAAAAAAGTTTCATATTAAAGGTACTCTAATTTTGAAAACTGTAAACTAAGCAAGGCTGATAAGAAAATGAGTATGTATTGTTTGTTGCAAGCAAAACTTACCATAGCCAACGAATGGAAATCTACTGATAGAATCGAAAAATGTGGCTGTCTGGCTTGTCAAGTACTATTGCACTTGAAAAGCTAACTTTTGTGTACAAATATTCCACTTTCAGTGTAATCTGGAGAAAATTCTTGTCTTTTTTAGAAGGGGAAGAAGCCATGAGGGCTCTCGTACCTTAAGTGTATATAGATATTGTTTTGGGGTCATATTTCATATTTACCATTGTTGCCTTTCTGTGTCTTTGGTGACAGACCATCACATGCTTTGAACTATAAACTCCTCAGTGGAAAGCCCTATCTTAGACTTGGAAGGATGGACACTGTCCATCACTCGACTGTCTTGTACCTTTCCTTGTTATTTTTTTGTGTCATTGGTATTGTTCAAATGTTTTCATGTGAAAATTCAATAAACATATTTGTTTTAAAAAAGCTACTCTAATTTCTCACCAGAATAAGCACCACTATGGACAGAATGTAGAAGACAGCATCACGGAACAGAGGCCACCAGCTCAGAGAGATGGGCTGCAGAGAAAGAGGGGCACACTGTGATGATCATATGGACCAAAGAATTCTGTTGTTTGTTTGGCAGAACGAAGCAGTCAAAAAAAAAATCTATCTGTCATGGAAGCTGATTGTTGGTAGTGTATGTACCTGTCCAGAGAAGATACCACAGATGCCGATGATGACCAGGATGTTAAAGACAGCTGATCCTACGATGGTTCCTACACCAACGTCTCCCTTTGTGATAAACACTCCTACAGCCAGAGCAAGAAAGAGGAAGCCATGAATCATCTGCAAAATGTAAGGCAGCAATAATGTGTCAGTGTTCAAGAAATGCATGAATTACATCTTCCTCCCATACATATTAAATGTACAAGGTTAGACGTAGTTTCTCTCTTCTCTGAACAGAAACATTGCATCCTTGGTTCATCTCCACTGGGACGAGGCTGACGTCTTTTATGTTTTGCTGCTGGTTGTGTAATATTTACTGCATATTGCCTCAAGTCACTCCAATACTTATCAAAGGCAGATTTTTTTTTCTTTTGAGAATATAAATGATTATTTCAGAGGTGAAATATGAAGAAACGTCCTTAAACCAAATGGATTCAGAAGCAAAGTTTTCATTCTGACAAATTCTGATAAAATACCTCTTTCTAGGTCATTTTATTAAACTATAGCAATACCTTCAATCACAAGAAGCAGGACAAAATCAGTCTCTGAGGCATGGTATATCAGCTCTTGATGATAACCATTCTAAATTCTAAATATTGCTTGAATGTATTTCCAAAAACGTCTGTGATGGTTTCCGTTTTATGTCCAGACATAGTTTCAAAAGACAGCATGCTGTGAACAACTAGCTTCCTTTTGCCTTACCTTCACCCTTAAAACTTCAATCTCACTGACTCTTTTCTACTCAAAAATGTATTTGATCATCTAAAATCAGCTTCACTGAACCCTCATCAGCTTTGTGAGAAAAAAAAAAACACTTGAGAAGAACTGGGACACAGTAATAAGTAATTTACTGGTGAGATGGCAAACCTTCAAATAAAATGAAATGTGCTCTTCTTGGCATCTTTCCTCATGCCAACCTAATGCTTCAAATTGACCAATCAGTGCTGCTGCCTATATACACTTGACTTTTCTCAGTACCAATCAGACATATATGGTTGTAGATGATTGGAGGGCCGACGCAACAACCATCAGGCTAACCCATTCGAGTGAGTGATTGATTGGACGAGCATCATACTAACCAATCAAAGATGTGAAGAGCTCGGGGGCAGAGCTCCCAGCTGCCATGAAGGTTGCTCCGGCAACATCCTGACTGAGATGAAGGTTCTGGTGGACAGAGGACAGGAGCTTAAACTGGTTAAAGGATGTGATCAGTGATATTCTGTCTTTGTCTTATTGTCAATGGACTGATCCTATTGATAAATATTGTCCGTGCAGCCGTGGACTTCCACTGTTGTTCAGGAAGTAATAAAAATAAACAAATGAACCACACCGTTACACTAGATCCTCTAATCTAGTAAGCATGGGCACTATAGTTGAATGTGATATAATATCAGAAACCATAAATAATTACTAGTGTGCCAAATTTGTCTAAACCTGCAATGAAAAATAAAATTCACTCTTTGAATATGTTTGAGTAATGTCTTCTAAAAAAGGAACGCTCAGCTGTTCTGGGAAATTGTTGACCTTTCTTTTGTAAAATAGTCAGAGATGGGCGATATCAGGGAGAAGTTAGAGAAAGGCTAACACATGATTGATTGCTGCCTTTTCAAAAGAATTACATACAGTAGTAAAAATAAAGAGCAACTGATGCCTTAATTATTTGGAAGTATAAAAAAATAAATAGACGCTTTGATAACTTTCCCACTTAGCAACTGAAGAAGAAAGAGAACAACACAGATTTTAAATGGTTTGAATTATTGTACTTTCAGCCCAATTAGATTTGTTCGTACCTCTGATACTTTCTCCAGTGATGGCACAAAGTAAACATCACACACGATGGCCAGTGCATGAAACATGTAGATAGCCTGTGAAATGCAGGACACACAATATTAGCCACTTGGTTTATGTTTGTGAGTTTAATATGATCTAATTACGTTTGATGTGAGCTGATACTCACACAGAGAACATGAAGGAGTACCGCCCCCTGTCTCCTTTGATCCAAAGTAAAGACGTCTTCAGGAAACTCACTGATAGCTGATGGGGAGATAGACAGAGAGTGACCTAATGATGTGTAAAATGAGGGAAATTCCTGAGCAATGGTTGAAATCGCAGAACCAACTGGCAATTATTTGCAAAATTGATTAACTTTTTAGATCATTTGTCTTGTAAAGCAGCCGAACAGTGGCTGGTTTGAGCTTCTGAGGTCTGAAGATTTGTTTTTACTAGAGAAGTGTTGTGTCCTTTTACCTCTGAGATAAGCCTCAGATGCTCATTTTAGGGTTAACCCAAGATCAGGGGTAAAAACTTAAGATTTCAGATTGTATTTTCCTGTTGTTTTGGAGCAATGTTCAACAAAGTGTCAAACTAGTAAGCGTCATTTAAAAAGCATCATAAACCGCATCGCTTGGTACTCTTGAACCGAACATCTGTACCAAACATCTCTGGGTTTTTAGATTGTTTGTTAGAAAAAAATAAAAATCAACAACGACATTAACGTTGGCTTTGTGGAATTTGTAATGAGCATCTTAGGAGTGTATAAATAAAGGAAAATAATCACCAGATTCATAAGGTATGGCAAAAATCGCTATTTTTAGCTCTACTCTAAACCTGCAGTCACTTGTCCATGCATGTGGGAAAAATCTGTAAATCTGACTTTACTGAACGTGTATCCAGCTGTGTCCCCTAGCAACAACAACCAGACAGCTTGAGGTTAAAGCAGTGCCCCAGTCATGTGACTTAAGAGTCAAGCTGCATTACAAATGAGTTTTTCATCCATTTTCTCAATCGTTCCTCTTGTAACTTCACGCTATCCCTCATGACAACCACATCCATGTATTTATATCAACTGTCCTCTCCAGTTTTTCCCAAAGCGAGCATTTCCAATAAACTTAATGTTCAGAGACATTTAATTTGGCTGAGTTCAACAATGCATCACAATCATTCTCTTTCCGGCAGTAAGGAGTTGTTTTGTTGACTGCACTGTCTTGCCCACAAGCTCAAGTAAATGCCACGACTCACTGCGCAATAAAAAAAAAAAGCTTTTTATTATGAGACAGGCAAATCTACAATCCAGAAAGCTGTCTCCCAAGTGACTTTCCCTGCAAGATTTTCTGATTTAGTTGTCAGTCAGTATTTATTCACTGAAGATGAAGGTTGAAAACAGCTAAGTGAAAAAAGTGTGACAGAAGAGGATAGGACCCTGCACAGAGGCAACATTGTGCAGCTACAGGCAAACACAAAACACGTGCAGAGATCAAGATATAGAGAAGGTTTGATGCTATGACAACCTGTCACATGACTTTGTTTGGATATGCTGATCAAATGGCGTATTTTTATCTTCAAGAAAAGGCGATGCTCTTGAAAATAGCAACATGGTAATTTGAATAAAATGTCTCTGAGACATTTAAGTTAATCTGTATTTCCCTGTGGCAGTAACTAGCTAATATATTCTCTGTAATTGGCTGCAAAATCTCTTTATCTCGACATCAGACAATAAGCTGCTGTCACTGTTTCTCTTTCAGTCTTTTAAACAGCCAGATAGATCCAAGCATACACAAGCGATGAGAGAGCTGGTGATGAGAGGCTTCTAATCAGCAGGTCATTAGGACAGAGCAGGCACTTTGAACAGCTCCGAAGGCACACGACATCCAACCACAAATCTAGCATTCAGTTACCTAGCAACTGGCTCTAAGGCCTAACTGTGTTTAAACATCTATGTATGTGCAGAGTTTGAAGAAATGAAGGATGAGGTGGACCTCGGAGGCAGATCGATAGACTTGAATTAAACAGATTAATAGAGATGGGACACTTACACACTGCATTGACACACAAAGCACGCACACACGTCATCAAGATCATCACTGTGACTACACACTCATTTCTTCATGAATATCTAAATCTAGAACTATTCATGATTTACAAAATCATCCCTCTAATTCAACACCCTCACACGTGAATGCAATTTTCTATTTTTGTGATGATAAGACAGCATTAGTTCACACAAACACAAGCATGCACACACACACACACACACACACACAAATCTAAACACATGGGAAAATGTCTTACCGGATCTAGATATACTGTCATTCTGGTTGTTTTCTGTTTGTTGCATGAGCTTTCTCCTGGACAAGGAGATTGTGGGATCCACAGCTGGACTATGGGAGCCTAAAAGAGAGATTAACCTATAAATACATGCACTACTGATAAAATACACCAGCTATTCTTATACTGTATTTGTGATAGATTAAATTCAACATATCCTGTAACTAACTTCATGTAATTTCCATTGATTTGTGTGTTGATGTAACACTCATTAGGGTTGTGATTTAATATTAAGTCTTAATGCAGTTTGCATGGTTACAAGTAATGATGAGTTTAGAAGAAATAAAATCTTTGCTTTTTCTTGATTTTCTTGAGAAGCACCTGTATTGTCATGGAAGTGAAAGATCCAGGCGGCTGCAAGCAGACCGACTCCACAGACGCAGAACCGGGGGAGGAGCCGCGTCTGCCTCGGTCTCCTCGGAGCCTTCATCCCGCCAGCCGCCGCCGCTCGTCGGCTCTCCGCTCAGAACATGTCGCCGCCGTCGCTGTCACCGCTGGTTCGGATCCCAGCTTTCAGACTGGACGAAGCTGGCCTGTTGCTCTCGTGTTCTGATTTATCGTGTTTCAGCTGCTCTGGCTTGGAGCTCCATTCACAAAACGGGAGGACGTTCCAGCGGCTCGGCCTGTCATCAGCATCTCAGCACCCCGACATCAGCCACCAGCGGCGGTCCAGCATCCGCAAGCTGCACCTCCAGACAATCAAACACCAGCCTGCGCCTTCATAACAATATCCCTCGATTGAGACCGTCCTCACATCCCTGCTGCCCTAAATCTGATCCCGTGTTTGTGATTCCCCGTCCAGGAGGAGGGGGTGTTTTCCTGGACTCACAGGCGAGAGCGCCTTCAGCTGGGTGGGGCGACTGGAGTCAAATAACTGCTCAATGAAGGAATCAACATCTTCAAGTGTAACTTAAGTCACATGTGTGGCGAATAGGACCTAGTTATTGGGGGGAAATGAGAATTAATAGCTTCCAAAATTCATAAATGATATATATAATCGTTGGATATGAATAAAGCAAGATTGGGTCAAAACAAACAAAAGAAAAAGCTGTCACACAATATTTCTCCAACTCTCTCAGTAAAGCCTGCTGCACATTTAAAAGACAAAGCATAATGAAACTTAGTCACACATGCCAAGTCTTGTCCTATTAATACTTTTTTATGATATAAATTCTTGCATTTAAAAAGTTTCTTGTCTTTTTCACAGCAAGCATATTGTTCTCTCACAACTTCTGCTTTAATTCAAGTGTCCCAGTAAGTCAGAACCAGGATCCTGAAGTTGAAGCAACTAAAATACAATTAGTCACAAGTAATTTCATGTTTTGTTTGTCTCAGGTTAGTCAACGTAGTTTGCCACACTAGCCACATGTAGAAACTCAAATATTTTTTTAGTAAAAACTTCATCCTTATGTGTGAAAAAAACAAAGTCAACTACAAAAGCAAGTCACAATCAGGCACATGAATAGAGTCACATCTTGTTTATAGGAGGGAGTGTTTAGATTACATAGGAGGTAAGGCCCCATAGTGGACGCGGCAATAGGGCTGCAACATCAGGCGCACACCGTTCCACAAAGAGTTGACAGAAAAAAAGTCACTGTTTCCTGCACAGCTTCCTGAAGCCAGGACGGCCAAAAAGGTCAGGATGAGGATGCACAAAGCGAACTGCCCTGTTTTCTGGATGGCTGTCTGCAAGGTACCTGCACACCTTAGACAACGGAGAAACCAGAGGGACAATGATGAGTGAGGAAACATAATGAGAAAGAAAACTATATGACACACAAGTAACGCAGGACACACTACATATCAAAGTGTCACAGCTGATTCATGATCTGAAACTGAAATACCTTTTGGTCTGATGGTCAGCTGTGACACTGGAAGGTTTCAGCAGCTCCTCTGCTTCACTTTCCTCCTGCAGATACAGAACATCACAGACCTCATATATTACTTCGTTTGAATGTGGGCTTTGTTGTAGCACTCACTTGTGGCCACTTGAGGAAGTACAGATAAATAAATGTTAAACTCTACAATCGGTAGCCTGTTTATTAGGTACATCTAGCTAAATGTAGTGCACTTTAATGCAGCAGCCCTGCAATGAATTGTTCCCTTGTGAAGTTCATGAGGTTCAGTCTTTGGTAAATTGTTTGAGATGAGTTGATCCAAGTACACGTTCAGTCATGCTCAACTGGATTTACTGCAGGACTGTTGTATTCGTTTAAGTGAGCCGTACCTAATAAACTGGAAACTCAGTGTGCTATACATTCTTTCCATTTCAAAAGCCTTAAGACTGGAGTGAGACGCCATACATGTCTGAGCTCTGTGGAGTCCGCCATGCTGGTTTTCACTTCAGCTGATGAGGCCAGCCATATTTCCTCGGCTAAGGATGGAGGGGGAATGACCAGTTGTTCGTTTTCACTCATCCTGTCAGTCAGACTGTCACTGAAAACAAACAGCAACACAGTGCAGTTGAGTGCTCATCATATTCTGTGTATATTCATTTGAAGAAAGAGGATCTGTGTGTCAGAGTTACATATAGGCCTCGTCTCGTCTGTCCTCCAGCTGTTGCCTCTGCTCCTCGTTTGTCAGCCTGAGATCCTGGAGCACAAAAATGCATGTAAACAGAGACACTGTTGGTTTCACAAAACAATTTGTAAGCACTGTTAAAGCACAGATTATGAGTGGGGGCGGAATCCCATTTTACAAATGGCTACGGCTTGTACATTGCAGACACAATCATTTTGTTGACAATTTAAGTGAAAGTAAAGACAACAATCAAACAGACTTTTTAATTTGCCTATATTTAAACATTAATGCGCTTTTGTCTTGTTTCATGAACTTCAAAACAAAACTCATGCAGCAAGTGTGCAAAAGTTTGGTTAGCACTTAGTAAGGCCCTCTTTGACAGATACAGCAGCTTACAAACACTTTTTGCAGCAGCTAAGAGCCGTTTCTATTATTGATTTAGCAATTTTCCCCCACTCTTCTGTGCAGATCACACAGTCTTAGATGTTACTAGGTTGTCTTGCACGCATAACACGTTTAAGATCTCCCCACAGACTGTCAATGATATTCCAGTCAGGAGAGGCAAGCTTCAGCTTACGTTCTCTAAAGTGGATTTTAATGTCTGATTTGGATCAATGCCCTGCTGTAGAAACCATTATCTTTTCAGTTTCATCTTTGTGATGAACATTTGCAGAATTTGCTGATATTTAGAGGGACTTATTTTTTGTTCTACTTGTGCCACTGGCTGCCACATAGCCTCAAAGAATAACTTTTCCACCCGCAGTTGGAACAAATCTGCCATTTAACTTACAAAGATGTCAGATTTTGTAAAGAGGTTGCAGATAAGGTTTTCTTTAAGATGAATCTTGCATGTAGATTAGTGCATCAGTATTGCACAGTGGAACAGGGCACCACCATTCATGTGTCAGCTAAACTTTTCAGCTTCTGTGCAGTTATAAGGGGACTTTGTTTTCCATTTTGTTCAGCAGAGATGCAGTTCATCTGAACATTTTCTTAGTCTTGACTTTCAGACTTCCTGTTTAATTTTTAATGACATTTCAGATAGTAGAAATTGCAAGCTGGTGGTACTTTAATGTTTTGAGTAGGTTTCCTCTGATGCACTGACACTCTTTTCAACAATGATAATTCTTGACCTGCCTTACAAGTGGCTACAAGTCATTTCAGGCACAATGAATATCCAAACTTTTGCATACAGCTTTGCATTTGCAAGTTTTATATGACTAATGCACAGTCACACATAGTCACAGAAAAATATTTCAAGGTTGCACATTTCAAATTTGGTGAAATGGGCAACTGCATATGTGTAACTCGTCAACATAGACTTTAGCTTTTTGTAACATTTGTTGTTTTACTGATGCAATGAGCCAAGTTTAATTCCTTAGGTATCTTAGTTTCAGTCATGTGTATAATGAACAAAGAGTCACAAAGCTGTATACATCCTAAAAAAACACTGACTTGTTTCAGATTTTTTTTAGACAAGCTAGATGGCAACGGACATCATCTTACCTTTATGATGTCGGAACACTCTTTAACAGTTTCATCCAAATGCGTCAACTGCAAGTCTCTCTATCACAATTAGACAGATAAAAATGCAATGTTTATATAATGAACAATAAACAACTGTCAAAACCTTAATTTTGAACTCCAAAGAGAAAGATCCATACTTGTGAAAAAAAGTTTCACATGTCAGTCATTGCCTAGTACTGATCCTCTGTTCCTACCTGATGAATAACCTCATCCCTACGCTGTAGCCCTAACTGAGCCTCTTCGATTTCAAACTGAAGAAACACACAGCATAACAAATCAGAAGCTGGTGGATGGTTCAAAGCAACTAATGCAAACACTAGTAAGATGACAGGAGAGTTAGAAATAATTAAACTACTCCAAGTAGAATATGTGGTGCTACCTCAAAGTTTTGAAGTGTAACCCTGAGCTTGCTTAAGTTGATCTTGTCCTGGTCTCTTTCTTGTTGGAGGTTTTTGAGCTGAAACGGTTAGAATACAGTTGAATGCGGAAACGCTTTCAAATTTCACTGTTTAAAGCAAAAAGGTAACACATCTACCTCTGCAGTTAGCATCTTATTTTGTTCCTTCATCACGATGGATTCCTTCTCCTGCACATAAAACATAACAACATAAATCTAAACTGAACTCAGTGATGAGTGAAACTGATAATAAACTGTCAAATCAACACAGTTAGATTTTATGAAGTTGCACATCCTATCACAATGAAAAAAGAATTCAGGTTACGCACTAATTTATGAATCTTTTTTTCCCTGCATCTATTGGCATCAAGGTCATCAGCTAGCAAAGACTTGCAAGGCTCTGCTTCAACCTGTTGTGCTTCACTCATCAGCTTCTCCAGGCTGCAGACACACAAACACAGCTACAAGCTATTGACAGTTTTTTCACAACAATATTACAAAAGAGGGAACAAAAACTGTTCTCACACAATGAAAGAGCGTAATAAAATACATAAATATGTATGTACAACAACATTCACAAAGCAAAAGAAAAAAAGTTTGAAAGTACACACAAGAAATGGTACTTTGAGTTGTGTGAAGTGATTGGGGAAGACTTTTTCCACATATCAGCACCATTGTTCTCCCAAAGATGTCACAGAGAGTACAAAAAACACAGTTAGTGCGTTAAAGACCTGCTCGCAACACACCTTTCTCCTTCACTTTGCTCTACAAATTTAAATCTATTAAGATACAAATTGAATTGTCTATAACAACATAACTTTACTACGACAAAAAAACACAGTAGTAAAAACAGTTTAATGATAGTCAGCAAAAAAAAAAGAAGAATGTAATCTGTTTTTTTTTCCCCCCACAAGATGTTGCTTCCAGCTGCTTACAGTTTCATCAAATGCCAGCATCATCAGACAGCAGTAGAATCCATATGTGAGGCTCTGAAGCAAGAGAGCAGCACACATTTTTTGCCTATGTGAAACAATATTGCCTTTAACTTTATTTATTACTTAAAATGATAAATTATAGCCATACTATGCACTTTCCTTCACATTAGACAGGTGAGCTGTCACACACAGAATCTTAGTTTAGTTTGTGGCATCAAGCTGTTTTCAGGAGTTTTCCTATGAATGTATTAGATACCAGCAGTAGCAAGATTTCTATGAGCGTCTCCAAAGCGAGAGACTTACGCACATTAACACAGAACAGCAGTAACTAAATAAACTACGCTATCAGATATTTGGACAGTTTAATAAGTTGCTATCAGTTTAGGTTTAGTTTTTTGCTTGTTATTGCATTATACGTCACTTGGTGTCTTGTCCAATGTCACATGAATGATAAATGTTACATTTATTTATAACCTATGTTTGAATGGCAAAACTGTTGTTACTTTAGTGGATTGATAAAGCCAGCAGTGCTATATGTTCCACATCTTTAAAAAAAAAGCTGTAGGGAGTAATTGGGACCCCTCTACATGTTGAGGAGTGACAATAACGTGTAACAACCTACGCTTTCACTTGTTTTCTTAGTGTTGCATTTTCTGAGCGCAGCACTGCAATGTCATCATCTGCAACATCCAGCCAGTGCCTCATCTTAGCATTCAGATCCTTCAGCTGGCTCTGACTGTAATCCAGCTCAGCTATTTTCTCAAGCATCTCCTTTGGTGACCTGCACATAAACACACCATAGAGAAAGTAAAATATACTGCTATATGCCCCAACCCAATAGTTTTTGTGTGCGTGTGAGTTTCCTCAGTGAGCTTCACTCACATATTCTCCTCTATGACATCCATCCTGATGGCTGACTCCTCCCTCCTGCTTACGACCAACCTATGATCCATCAACATCAACCTAAAGCAGTGACATACAGCTTTAAATATACATTCACCAACTGAGTTATAGCTTAAATGTGTTTTTACTAAGAGACATATTAACTGTAACCTACTGAACAGTGCTGACAGTGAGAATTTCCCAATATACAGACAGACTCAGGTTTAGCCTAGTATTAGAGATGTAGTTAACTTATGTAGCTGGTAGACCTAAAACAGAAATGTCAGCAATGAGATGCGCACAAATATTTCACTTATTTTTATCCAGCCACTTAAGACTATTTTTTCTGACACAAAACATTGTGGGGATCCAACAACTATCTTGTAATTTATTACAAGAAAAACACTGATGCTACACTGAGTCTGAACCAGGAACCGCTCTTTACTGCAAAACCAATCAATGGCAGTTACTGTGTTAAGATAAATATATATTAAAAACGGTATATTATAACAGTAGCTAACGTTAGCTTTAAAGCTACTTTCCTTAAGGAGGCTAACAGTAAGAGTACAGAAGCAACTGTAGCTCGGCGACCTTATTAATATTAGGGTTAAAACCTAAGAGTTAGCTTGCTAAAATAATAATATCTAACATATAGAAACATACTCTTGTATTTTTATGATTCAACATCATTTTTTTTTAGACCTACTAGCTTGGAGTTAGAAAGAGTGCTAACACATAACATGCTAACGTTAAACTACGGCGCAACTACGAGTGAATAGCAGCGCGACTAACGTTTTTTCAGTTAGCATTAGCTAAGCTACACTACAAAAGAGTGAAAGTCGACCAAAACGTTACCTTATTTCACTACGAACAATGCTCTACTCGACGGTGGCTCACTCAAGCTACTGGTACCGCATGTAAAAATGGAAATAAAAAAGTCTTACCAGCCAGTAATGTTGAATTGTAGCTAGCTGTTAGCGCTAAGGCAGCTAACTTGTCCTGCCATATACAGAAGGTCGCCGAACAGCCCGCAGTTCGGTTTAAATGATAACTGGTGAAAACTAGAGATTAACTGCTGCTAAATGTATGAGTCAGACACGAACTGTGAAGATGTGACTACCAGGTAGCAATGATAGAATGGTGTCTCAGTATCACTGTAGAGAAAAGAGCAATGCTTAAATAATTAATACATTCTGTATTGGAGAAATTCATTTTAAATTCTGTATTTTCAGCAAAGTGTGTAACTGATATAAATAAATAAATAAATTAAATAAATAAATGTAATGTTTACTGACCCTGCTTAAATGCCGTTTTCTTGAGTATTGCAATTAGGTTTTGGAAAAATTTGGAGTGGTAAAGAGATATTAAATATGCTGGCAGACACGGCTAAATATAGGATTATTTGATGAGACCTACATTTGACCAACTTCACATCAACATTTTCAAAGTCTCTCCTAAATTTTTTTGATGCTAAATACATCTTTACAAAGACATGTTGAAATGAGTTACTGCTTAGAAATGTCATGAGTTGAGTATTTCCTTTGTAATTCATCCTTTTTTGAGCAGTTTAAATAAAACTGTAAGTAGAAAATGTTGAGAAACCTCATTCTGACTGTATGAGTTACATTGATCCCATTTCAGAAACTTTCTAATGGCTAGTTTGAGTTAATACTCTCTATTTATCAATCTCTAATGCCCAAGAACTGGATATTATTTATTCTAAAAACAATGTTAATTCGATTTTTTTCACAAGTGTGTGTATTTGAAATAATTTGAAAAGCAAAAATTCAAACCCAAATTTAATCATTCCAACACAACAATTTCAAGAGTGCAAAATACACAATGATAAAAACATTTTTAGCGATCTGGCACCTCCCTTCATACAATGTATTGAAACACTTTTAAATTACAAAACCAAACATCAAATGGTGGAACCCATAAGAAACGCCATCAAAAAAAGAAATCAAGCAGACATATATATGATAAGCACAACAATCAATAACACTTGAAAACAATATTTTTGGTAATATTGTACATTGAGTGGCAAGTAAAAGCACCTTCCATAACAAAGGCTTGTAATTGTTCACAACACTTTAAGGCCAGGAGAGTTCAAACAAAGCAAAAAGGTGCAGAAGAGGAAAATAAGGATTGCTGTGAGGTAATTCCAGATTGCATCAAGAGTTGTAGGATGTGTCTTAAATCAATATCACATGCTGAACTGAAGTAGATGGTAATGATGAAGTATACTTAAAACAGTCAGGTAAACTGCTACAGGAACACCTCAAGAAAAAAAGCTTTTAAATCTTTGGAAAAACATTTTGCTTTCTTACTGATTTAATTGTCAGCTACAGTTTGACAGTATTATTGATGCGTAAAATGAAATGTATAAAATGATTAAGTGTATATATCATCTGTTAGGATACAGGATATACCTTGTACAGTCACTATGTAGTAAGGAATTAGGACAGAGATGTTGCTTATGGACTGAAACATGAGTAAAGTAATACGACACATGGAGAAAGACTGTTCACACATCATGTCCAATTGGTTTTCAAATCCTGTATTTACCAAATGACTCCACACAAGTCCTTAACGTGGAACATCAGATTACACATCATGTACTATTTTTCTGCTGATTGCTTTCTTTAGGGCTTACATGTGTGCTGTCCTGCAGATGTAAAGACATCATTGTGAACCTCATCTTGGTGCTCTCACTGTTCCCTCTGGCACAGTGATATCCAGTGAAAAGGTCAGTGTAATAAACTCAGCTGGAGCTCAGGAGTAGCTGCAGAGAAGGCACAAGCACATCATGATCCTAACAAGTAATAGAACAGCAAATAGGAGGCTAACGATTGTGTACTTTATAATAATCCTTCGGTGTAGTCAGGAGCAGTGACCCTCAGATTCAGGCAGCATTAGTGCATAGAAAAAAAACAAGTAAGTGGCCGTTATCACCACTCCCTTCAGCCCCCCTGCCCTAGAGGTCACTGTCAGGGATTGCGAGTGCTTGTTAACACGGATTTTAAATTCTACATTTTTCACGATCAATAAAATACATTCTTCCAGTAGCGTTTTTAAACATATATTTTCAGTGCTCAGTATTTCAAAGTAACACAGGTGATTTCTGTGTTAGACTGAGGCCCGCCTCAATGAGATTACAGATTACCTCGAGGTCAAGACCAATGCACCTTCAAAAGAAGACAATTAATTTTTCAATGTGTCAGCACAGTAAAAGGCTACAGAGAGGACACTGGCTGACTGATATAACCAGCAACACCTGAAACAACCACATGATATTCTAGCTTCCTCCCATCCCAAGCTACCTCTTTGGAACAGAGGTGATATTCCCTGCCGCTGCTGCTCCCAAAACTTTAACCTTCACCACTGACGACAGGACATGTGGCCTGTTCAGACTTTCAGCTGTTACCGGGAGGGATCCAGCGATCCTGTGACCTGGAAGTGTATTCCATCTCCAGGTACTGGTGATGGGATGAGAGGGGAGAGCCAGCAGAGATACCAGCGGATGCCCAGCGTGTGACGCACGTTGCCCAGGAGTCCCAGGCTGTAGGGTTGGCGGGATGAGTACCACTCCCTGGTGGTCTGACCCCGAAACAGCAGGAAGAGGTGGAAGAAGAAGAAGGCTGACACCAGCAGAAAACCCACCACACATGTGTCAGCGATGAAGGCAAAGGCAAAGGCACGTGCTGAGACCTGGCCTGGGGAGAAAAGGAACAGCAGCAGCCAAATATATAAATTGAGGCTCAAGACAATTCAGTGCTTGATTCTGACGTCTGGGATCCACCTCATCATGAAGAAATTAAATGGTGAACTAGAGGTGTAAAGAGAGAGTCCATTTGTAGTAAAAAAAAAAATTACAGAGAGCTCAGGAAAAAGTACCCTACAGAGTTTATAAAATTCATATTTGCTAATATGATGGGTTTTTTTTTCATGTGATGGCATGTTTTGAAGTTTCTAGAAATTATTTATAAAAGGTGCTTTATGATGATTTAAAGAAGTTAAAACTGACTGCAAAGGATTGTTTGTCTCCAAGCAGAGCTGACAATGTCCCACATTGTCATTATTTAACATCCATCTGTTGAATTAGCCATAATTAAACATCCCAAAGTTAAAATTTGAGATTGTCAATGTCCTGAAAAACAAATGTTAAGAAGCTGTTTAGCCCTCGGACCCTGAGGTATAGGATGAAAACACAGATGCTGAAACAATTACAGACAATCAGCTGGCAACTGTTTTCATAAAGTGTATCAGTCAAAACAAGCCACACATTTGATTTGCTCAGTGTCTCTATTGAGAAGATTTGTCTTTTCCTTGTTTTATATTCGTGAATATGAAAACATCAGTAGCTGCAGCCTTATATGAAACATGGCACATGGGTTTAAAGTCAAAACCAAAAACAGATGCTTTAAATTCAACAGTGGTCACAGGTTTATGATCACCTTTCTTCTGCATAACAGACGTACGTTCTGTGTAGAAGTTCAGTCAAATTTAAAAGGACCAAGAATAAAAGAAAAACAATAAGTTGTGTACCATATCAGTAACTCTTCCTGCCAATTATTAACACAGTTACAAGGAATAGTCACAAAATGGAGTATTTAACGTGAGTAACCCTATCATACCTGAAACCAGCATGATCCAGGGTATGAGCAGCAGCAGGACGCTGTGCACCGTCACACCCTCCTTCAGGATGACGATGAAGACTTCTGCGTTCATCAGCGTGGCGTACAGGAGCCCCGACCACATAAATAGCAGGCAGCACAGGAAGTAGCGGTAATTGCGGAAGCCCACGCACTGGCCAAAAAAGACACAGTGGTGGTCCCGCCGCAGTACACACACCTTGCAGTCGTAGCAGTGGGAGCAGCGTGGAGGAGTGTGTGTCTCGCAGGTATAACAGTACCTGTGTGGAAAAAATAGAAAACATTGTTATTTATGGCTGTAGATGTTCCTGAGCAACATTTCACTGATGACACTGGCTATTAATAAGCTTCTTTCATTAATCGAAATGGGTTCACAGAAATGATTTACATGAAATCCACTCTTGGAACAAATGGGAAAGAAATCATGTACATATGTAATAAAAACAACAACAGAGAATTAAGTTTCTTTGCTGTGGTCACTCTAATAATTTAGGTTTCTTATTGTCCCATCTAATAAATATCAAAAAAATCCATTGGCTGGTTTAGTTGTTTAAAGGTTGTCTTTCTGTTGAACATATATACAAAATAATTGTGGTACATTTCCAGTTTTTTCCCCCAGTGTGTTCCATATTGCACAGCTTAAAATGAATTAATTGCATCATTGGTTTCTTGAGCTAATCTTTGGATTGTAGTTGATTCTACCTGTTACTGATTATGCTAACATTGTCAATTAGAACACCGCTAACACTTGTATTTAGTCACCCAAGAAAATTCTCACATAGAATCCTATAATGCATATTTTTGTATATACACATATTTACCACTACCATTGTCTCGTATGATTTGCTAGAAGAGAATCTGACTGGATGCAGTTCATTTTAAAATGTCCTATCTATTTGAAATGGTTTCTGAACTTACGTAGATCCTACTATCCAATAAACCATTATGCAAAATCCCTTTTTCTTTGTCCCTAGAACGTTCAAAGAGGCGGACACTTGTGTCCTGAAGGCCATTTCAATGCAAAGCCCCTTCCAGTTGGAAAAACCTTTCTCTTTTTCCTTATTTCTATTACCTCTTTTTGCTCCTTCTTTAATTTCTCATCTCCAAGCAACCTGTTGTATGTATTTACAATTTTTAAGTTATTTGTCGTACAAGGAATTAGAATTTAAACCGTATTCAGTTGCTCTCTATGCTGATGTAATTAATGTATTATCTGGGTCTTTGTAGTCGATTTTTCTTTTACAATAGCTGAGATCTGGGCGTGTGGGTGGGAGAGGATGAGTGAGCTGTCCGTGTTTGTGTATTTGTAGTGTACGTTATATAATGTTGTGTTTGCACGTGTTTTGTATTTGTGTTTTTAGGATACCCTTATATGTGTGGTGCTACATCTCAAGCTGCTATCGTTCAATGAATTCAAATTCAACACTTGACTCACAAAATGGCCAAGATGACATGACCTGCACTATCTCATTACAGCCACATAGGATTTTCTATTCAATCTGGTGGAAGTCTGACTGTGGGAAATCTTCCTTTCTTCTTTTTCCACTATATTGTTTTCCCTAAAAACTATAAAGCATGTACAACTACGTCAGAAAACAAAACTATACAGATTTAATAGCCTACATTAAAAACATTTGGCTTGTCTACATACTTTTGGCCATATATATGTGTGTGTGTGTATGTGTGCATTTACAATATGCTTTGTTTGAAGCCATAAAGCTGAACTCTAATGGCCACTGCTCCTTCCTTACCTCCAGCCCTGACCCATGCCTTCCCCTCCCAGGAACACCCCTCTGATGCTGGGGCTGGTTTTCAGGAAGAGCAGGGCGTTCCAGCAGATGTTTCCCAGCATGAAGTACTGAGCCAGCAGGTGAACCACCTTCCACCAGGCAGACCACGTCGTCTTCTGCTGGTCCGCCTCCAGCGGAGCCTCGACCAGCACCAGGTAGCTCACCTCCCCGGTGATGGAGAAGACCAGGAAGGTGTTGAGGGCCACCGGCAGGTGGTGACACAGTCTCTCAACCCTGCAGAACACTTTACTGGCGAAACTCGTCATGTTTGGTGCCTGTCCACCTTGTCCCGATGTTTGAATTACAACTAAAAACACGAGCAGTGGAAGGAGCGATTTGACGGGCGCACAGCGGTGGCCGTCGGTTAGCTTAGTGAGCCGAATAGCCGTCCATTAGCCGCCTGCGTGGGCTTCAATCAGCCGTATGAATAATTAATAGTGTCTGTAATAGCTCCCGGACGGATTTCTGTAGCGTAAGAGATGCAATGTAACGCCGTTAGTCTCTGTTAATTCCTCTCTCTGCCACGAACCGAGCTACTGTACGGAATCACAGCGCCTGTCAGGTGCTACATGAAAATACTTCCGCATTGAAACAAGACACTCAAGTTCCGCCCCTACTAAACCGGAAAGAAAATCTATACAGTTCATCAGAATCAGAATCAACTTTCTTGGCCAAGTTTGTACAAGCAAACAAAGAATCTGATTCCTGTGAATCTTATCTCTCTGTGTACAGTAATCACAAACTACACTAAGTACTCAAAATAAGTTAGAAGTTGAAGAGACTCATTCAGTCCATTCAGCATTTATTTTTTTTGGAACATATTTGTACTATGGTAATGGAAATATAATGATCACAATTAAAATTGCTATGTCAAAATGATATATTTTACCCTTCAATCACTCTTTGCTGCATAGAGAGAGAGAGAGAGCGAGAGCGAGAGAGAGAGAGAGAGAGAAGATAAAGCCTCAATCAGTTGGAAAAATAGAAGATTCTGACCCTTTAAAATCATCCAATGTAAGTTTTATAATACAACATTTCTGCCACGTTCCTGACAATTACACAGCTCCATCTGTTCCTGACTCATTTTCCCCATTCAGTGCCTCGATACCAATTACCATTAATTAACAGTATTTTACCATAAGTCCACAGTGTACATAAATGACTGTGTCAGTAACTTTGTAGCCTGTGTGACACTGAAATCGCTCCAACTCCTGTTTAACCCCATTATCATGCCCATATATGTGGATTGGCAGCATGTCTCTGGTCCCTCCCCCCTCAAAGCGTAGCCTTTAATCCCTGATAATCTCTGCATCTACTGAAAGTCTGCAGTCATGGCTGCACCGAAGGAGAATTTACTATCTCTTGGGCATCTGACCGGCACAGAACAAAACACTTTCTCAAAACAAAGAGAGCACTGTGTAATAAAGAGGTAAGACAAGTGAATGCTGCCGATGAATGAATGAATGAAGTGACATATATATGGAGTTTATACTTTTGCAGTCTTTAAAACGTCAAAGGAGTCATTCACTAAACACATGGTGGAATTACTGTAACACAGTTGTATATATGGGGATTTGTACTGTGTGGTTAGAGAGTCTTTTAGGTTTTTCTATCATTTTAAATGAAAATGACAGTAAGCAATAGTTAGACTAAGTTGCTACTTTTATGTGACAATCTAACAAACAAATGCCATCATGTCAGCTGGAAACTTCAGTACTGTCAGCTGGGCTGTGTGAAGGACATGGAGGTGGTGGAAAGAGAGCATGTGTTATTGTCATTCTGTGTTATAACGAACTGTTTATTTCTCTTACAGTGTGAACAAGCCTATGCTGTTGCAAGCTGACTTTTCAACTTTGCAGAGCCACCAGCATCTGTAAGTGTAAGGACAAAATGCCAACAGGGTGCTTGTTGGTGATACGTAGTGTACCTTACAGTGGTGTAAATGTTTGTATTACCTTGTGTGTGTATTTCCTGCAGCGAAAAGATGCACCTGCAACAACGTTGGCAGGAACTGAAGAAGAGAGAGCGTGTAGCACAACAACACAACAAGCAGCTGCTGCTGCAGTTTGAGAAAGCTCAGGACACACTGAAAGAGATGCTGGTCCGCAACGCTGCCATGAAAACTATTCGGGTACACAGACATATAAAAAAAAAAACACACACACACATAACACACTGTAAGAATTTAGATAAAAGATTAGAGAGGGAAGCCTGGCTACTGTATACGTTGTAAATAACACATTTATCTTCTATACCTTTTCTGTACTTGTGTCCTCAAGAATGCTCTGTGTTAAACCTATCATTGTGACCTTTGACCCCTGCAGGTGGAGTATGAGCGATACTTGGTGGAGAGCTCCCCCCGCTGGCAGCAGCAGCTCAAGGACAAAACACAGGCTGCTCAGAAGAAGGTACAATCAGTGCACATTATGCAGTATCAATTTGACTTCACTACAATTACAACCACTACCACTAGCACTACTTGACCAGGTCGTTATTGAAAATGAGAACCAGTTCTCAATTAACTTACCTGCTGAGATAAAGGTTAAATAGTAAAGGTAAATAAAAAAATAAATAAATGAAAACACATTGCCGGTTTTGCAATTTTATTAGTGGAATCAAAATATAAATTTTGAGAATCAGAATAAACAGCATCTTCTACTCTATGGAAGCAAATCAAGCTCATCCAATTTTGAATTTTCAAAGCTGTTGAATTTCTAACTTTGAATTTTGTAACTGTATGAGCCTGATTTGCTTCCATACTACTCTGCTCATCATACAGTGTACCATAACTAGTTTCTGTTTCTACTATCTACTTTCACTTCTCACGTTTATCACCTCAAAAAGGTGTCTGTGAAGAACTCATCATCCATGTTAGTGACGTGTATTGATCTTTTACTACATGCTCTGCTGCCCTGTCAGTGTCTTCAACAGAGGATGGAGGACTGTTTAAGGTCATATCAAAAGATTACAGAAGAGGAACGAGTGACAAAGTCTTCTGCAGACCGACCTTTACTTTCACAAGGTTTGTGAAACTCAACCCTAACCCTCACTTTAGAAAAAAAAAATACTGGATATTGATACATTTATTCTTGTTAATAGTTGTTGATTTCAGTAATTTCCCAGACTGGGATAAATAAAGTATTTTTCTATTCTATTCTTCTATTATTAATGTTAATAGTGTATTTTACACTGGGAAATCTGGGAACTTGGTGGAGGACAGGAAACATTGAAGACCTCAACAATTCTACCTTTCAGGACCAAAGACTATTTTCTAAAGCACAGCTGCATTAAAACCGGTTTTGTTTGTATATTTTATTTAAATTCTTTTTTTTTCTTTTTAAATCATGCACTCTTACCTTATATGTGTCTGTTTTTAGGTTCTACCACAAGGCCACAAAAAATTGCTGCACCTCAGGCGTATTCAAGCCAAGACTACTCAAACTACAACCAAGATGGCTTCTCTAATCTTCCATACACACAGTCCTCCTCCCTGACCCACTCTCAACCCCTTACAGGTAGGTTTCCTATCAGAGTGCCCTATCAACCCCATGCTTCTTCTCAAGTCCCCCCATCTTTCCTCCCACATCCTCACCCATTTCCGCTCCACCATCTCACCTCCACACCGGGTCATCATCCTCATCACCCCTGGTTCAGGCAGGATCCACCAGGCTTGGCTTCCCCGCAGCCCGACTACCCCTGGTCCTGGACTGCTGGTGCAGCTGGGATTCCCCCAGGTTCCGAGGTTCTGTGGGGGCAGATTTACACGGAGGAGCCTCCTCCTGAGTCGAGGGTTTCACAGATTGTCAGGGAAGAAAAGACAAGCAGAGCATCGAGCTCAAAGGCAGAGAGAGGTGGTGGAAGCAGGAGCAGTTATTTGTCCCAGGAGCTGGACATTAAACCAGGTGGGAGGAGAAACACTGATCTCACATCACTGTGTATGTACTGTATGTGTGCGTACACTGTCTTTCTTCACATGTAACTTATGCGTTTGTGCACATTCTGTATCCAGTTCGTCTGTCCAGTGGTCAGGCAGACAGCAGTGAGAGCGGCAGAGATTCCAATCTGGCCAGCAGAGAGACGAGGAAGAGGAGGGAGAAGAGAGGAAGAACACAGCGTAGCTCCTCAGACAAAGAAAGACGCAGATCTCAAGAGTGAGTAAAACTATTATTCACAGTTATATTAGATGTCATTTATCCCACATACACACACTTCCTTCCCTTATATTGCACCATTCGAAAAAATCCTCTCTTTACCTCCTTACTTCTCTACCTACCAGTTAAACAAGTTATCAGTGCTCCACCCAGTTTACAAAACTGCCACCTTTCTTAAGAGTGCATCCATGATAGGACCAGGCGGGGGTGGCACAAGCCATCTCACCGATTTCAATGAAACTTTGCCAGTTTAAAGGGGTCCACCCAAAACTACTTCAGTCT